ATGTAATATCCTAGGTGTGAAGATATAGCAGTGAACAAAACAGATGAAAATCCCTGCCCTCGTGTAGCTTACATCCTAGCAGTGGAGGGAATGAGGAGAGCCGTGTTATCGAGCCTAAACTTATTTGCTCCCTGCATGACAGGCCAGTAAATCTGGAGACCAGGTGTTGAGGCAAGGAATAAGGACTTTATTTGGAAAGCCAGCTGACTGAGAAGATGAGGCACTATTGTCCTAGAGAACCACCTTCCCTGAGTTAGAATTCAGAGTTCTTTTATACTAAAAGGCAGGTGGGGGAGGTGGCTGGTTGTTGCAAACTTCTTGGTATAGGCCAGACCCTAGATGGGGTAAAACAATGCTTTGCTTTTGCAGCTGACTATGTAGGTCTGGTCATGATATTCCTCTAAACATATAAGACAGATGTTATTCTCTGTTCTGCAACTTTTAATCTCTATATGAATGGAAGTGTTAAACCCTTTAAGGCCAGAACCTTGAAAATGAGCTAGCCTGTATATTTCAGGCTATCAACAACATTCTTAACTTGAAGCAAAAGCAATAAAATATAAAGGTTAAAGTAAAACAAATAGATCTAATATGGAGTCAGATTTGTTCTTCCTTATTACAGTGGGACAGGGACAATATACACACAATAAGTAAAGTATATAATATGTTAGAGTATGGAGTATGAAGTAAACTAAATTAGGGTAAGGGAGATGGAGAATGCTAGAGGGTGAAATTTAAACAGGTTAGAGCAGGCCTCATTGTAAAGAAGGCATCTTAGCAAATACTTAAAGGAAGTGAAGGAGCAAAGTATGGGAATATGTAGGAAAAGAATATTCCAGGCCAAGGGAACAAGTACAAAGGCCGTGAAGCAGGAGTATGCCATGTTGAGAATCACCCATAAAGAGACAAGAGGCTGTTGAGATAACATAGGAGAGAAATAAAGGATCAGAGTATCATGACGAAAGTGGTAAAAAATTGTCATATTCTGTCTGCATTGTGAAAGTAGAAACATTATGACTACTGAACCGTGATGTGGGGCTTGGGTGAAAAATGGAGTCAACAGGGGCAGCTCCTGGGTAGTTTGGGGCCTGGAAGGTTGGATGGAATGGTCGTTAACTGAGGTAGTGAAAAATCCTGGGTAGAGCTAGTCTGAGGGGAGGGAAGAGATTTGAAGATCATAGACTGACTTGTAGAAGGCAAAAAACTGTTTCATGTGGTCCTTTTTCTGTCTCTGCCAGCATCATAACTAGCTCATAATAATACTAAAAATTATTGAATAAATAAAAAATATATGAACCTAATCTTGAACCCTTCCATAGATCAAAGCAGTGTAAGAATGAATTTTTACAATTTGATTCACAAACCTTTACCAAAAGTCCTTGAAAATAGTATATACTAAAATAGATGCTAGTTCAAATAATAGTTTCCGCAGTTTCACCCTCAAGTAGAGAACCATCTTATTTGAGTAAAAGTGGATTGTGTAACGACTTTCTTAAGCTATGGCTCCTCCTCAGTTTTTATAATCCCTAGTGTCCAGGCTAGTGTCCATAGCCTGACAGTTTTGCCCTGAAATTAACTCCCCTGTTTGTTCTGCTTTTATATTACAATTTCTAATCCCATCTTTCTGAAATCAATCACAAAGTTGAGGATTTTTTTTTCTTGCATTATGACCACTGCCTATTTACTAATGCCATTTTTTTTATTAACTCTGCTGTGATATTGTGATTTATAATAAATATGTATTTAGTCTTTGTACCTTTCCTGGCCCTCGGAATAGCCTAAGTGTTGAGAGCAATAAAGGCATGTTTTGTTATTCATAACAAGCCCTTTTCACCCACCTCAGAGTTTATGTTAATATTAATGGAAAATTCTTAAGTATGAGAGCTTGTTGCCTGGAGAACCAACCAGGATTAGAGGGCTGGAACTTTTAGCCCTACTCCCCTTACTTCTGGGGAAGGGAGAGAGGCTGGAGGTTGAGTCAGTCACCAGTGGCCAATGATTTAACCAATCAGGCCTAGTTAAACCTACATAAAAATCCCTGAATTACAGGGCTCAGGGAGCTTCCATGTTGGTGAATTGGTGAACATGTTGGGGTGAGCAGAGGCTCACATCCCTGGAGAGAGCACGGAAACTCCACACCGCTTTCCTCGTACCTTGCCCTATGCACCTCTTCCATATATATGGCTGCTCCTGACATGTATCCTTTTATAAGAAACTGGTAATCTAATAAGTAAAATATTTTCCTGAGTTCTGTGAGCCACTCTAACAAATTAATCAAACTCGAGGAGGAGGTCATGGGAACCTCTGATTTATAGCCTTTTGGCCAGAAGCACTGGTAACAACCTGGACTTTGTGATTGGAGTCTGAAATAGGAGAGTGTTCTTGTGACACTGAGCCCTTAACTTGAGGAATCTGACACTTTCTCCAGGTAGATAGTGTCAGAGTTGAGTTAAATTGTAGGACACCCAGCTGGTGACCCAGAATGCTTGATGTGTGTAAAATCCTCACATCTGGTGTCATAAGTGTTGTAATAGAGTCCTGAGAAACACACAGGAGGAGTTTTTCCTTTATATCTGCTTAAAATTGCACTTTAAGACCATCCCTTTACTGCTTTGGGAACCGAAAGAGCCCCACCTTTGCTCAGCTGGTAACCACTTCCTTTGTTCTGAAACTCTTACACTGCCAATTTTGACTAATAACACTGCTTGTAGCAGGCAGCCCGTGCTCCTTCCCCAAAGTTCTGGATGTACCTACTGCTTGGTTGGCAGGGCCATCCTTGTGCCAAAGACTTGCTCAGCTGGTTGAGTTTGTTACTCCTTGGAGGTCTTTATCACTTTTGCTGCTGTGACTACTTCTGCTGAACTTCAGTTCTCTGCTAAGCCTCCTGGTTCCTCCTACCCAACCCCCCCAAAGTAGTGTGAACCACATGTTTGCACCAAGATGAGGCTTGACTCAGTATTTTGGTTCTTAAAAGCTCCCAGCCAACCCTCGAGAGCATGGGGATAAGCAATCTTCTCATCCCACTGATAAGATAGCATTGTTCTTTCAATGGACTAGGCCCCTATAATAGGGCTAGCTAGATAAGAGGTGTGACATTGTAAGCGAACCTGTGGTGGAACACATGAGATGCTCCAGCAAGGAACAGGATGGCTATTCTTTTAGCACACCACCTGTGCCTGTGTGGTGAATGCCTTTCTTCCAAGGTCAGATTCTGTAGGGCCTTCATTGTTAACTTCATGGAATTCAGGGGCTCGAATACAAATGAGCCTATGAGTTTCAGTATGTTTTGTTGAGGAGGGGGAAATTTTGCCCTCTATTCCTCTTGAGTTCTTGTGGCTGTACTAATAATAAAATTGATACAAGACAGAGTAACAGGAGAGAAAGAAACACATTTGAATTCATGTGCATGGAGGTCTCATAGAAATGGGACCTAGGAAGTGGCCAAAGAAGGCAGAATTTGGACTTTTTAGGCAAAGACCCAGTAATTTTGCAAGGAATTGACAGGACAAAGAAACTTCCATTTTGGGTGCCTAGTTAGTGAAGAATCTAAACAGAGTTTGTGCTTGGGGCAGTAAATTAAAGAAGTAACAAGATTTGTTTATATAGGCTTCTTGGCCAGAATTCCCTATCTTTGGCAAAAGGGTGACCTACCTCCAGATGCAGAGAGTATACCTTTCACATGAGAAATTCATTTCCTGCCTTCAGGGAGAGAGAAAAGAGAGTAACGTTTCTTCAGTAACTTTGATTCAGAATAACTAATATACCATGAGGCACATTTTGGGGTGGCCTGCTCTGGGCCCCAAAATTTTTACCCTCTTGTGTATATATATACTTTTTCAAATTGAAGTATAGTCAGTTTGCGGTGTTGTGTCAATTTCTGTGTACAGCATAATGCTTCAGTCGTACACGAACATATATTTGTTTTCATATTCTTTTTCACCATAAGTTACTACATGATATTGAATATAGTTCCCTATGCCATAAAGTATGAGCTTGCTGTTTGTCGGATTTTGTGAGAATCGTCCTGTATTTTGAAGCAAGAGACACTGCCAGAGTTCAGTAGGTGTTCTATGCGAATCAGTGGGTTTGTAGGTGTAATTCTTGGTATATTTGTGGGTGAGGGCGAGCTGTGAGGCTCTCTACTCTGCCATCTTGGCACCTTCCTCTGGGCCCTAACATTTTATACTTCAAAAATTGTCTCTCAGGCCTTTGACAATACCCTCCTCTACCTAAACCTGGAATAATAAATGATATATAGATGGAGCCACTTCCTCATTCATCTGGAAATAAAGATTCTGAGATATCACTGAATGTTTGAGTTGGAATGAATTTTAAAAGAGCATATAAATCACTGGGGGTGGGTATAGCTCAGTGGTAGAGCACATATTTAGCATGCATAAGGTCGGGGGTTGAATCCCTAGTACCTCAACTGAAAATAAACAAGCAAGCATATAAATCCAGTATTTCTTGATTTTCCTATAGCAGCCCTGAAATCCAAAAATGTTAAGGGTTCTTCCCAGTATCCTATCTCAGTTTAAAGGTAAGGCTTAAACTAGAACCCAGGCCTCCTGAGTCATACTCTTTCCGTTGCATCGTTTATAAGGTTATGTCTTGAGCTATTGAGTACACAATGAAATCATAGTGTTCGATATGCCTTGTAGAGAGAAAGCACTCTAAACATTGTCAGTTGGTTAATAAATGCCAACATTTTCAGGGAAGTAACAAATACTAGGAGAGCTGGGCTTAGTACATGTGGGTTTCTGTGGTTATATTTCTCCATACATTTTGCCATTTAAATGTTTTTCTTTTCTTCTGAAAGATCTTCAGTCTACACCTTGGAGGTATATCAACTGTGGTTCTAAATGGCTATGATGTAGTAAAGGAATGCCTTGTTCATCAAAGTGAAATTTTTGCAGACAGACCATGCCTTCCTTTATTCATGAAGATGACAAAAATGGGAGGTATGTTTATTTTAACCTATTTAGTGATTTACTGAACTATTTTAAATTATATTTCTTATTTTATGCAAATTTAGTACACAGAGATTGGATTCTATTGTACTGATTAACAAGAAATTATTAATTAGTTAATTTAGTTACAGAATCTAGTATTTGAGGACATTTCTGGCTGCATTACATTCGTATCTGAGACCAGAACATGCTAATCCTACTGTTGTAATCCAGTTCTAATAAAATATTGTAAATAATGTTTTAAAGAATTAGCACTTAATATGTACAGGTTTTGTGAAACAAGTCAAGAATACACACATGTGCCCACACACTTGAATCAAAAGTACCTTTGGAGCTAGTCTTGAGTGCTTGGTAACATTTTACTATCATTTTGCTCATAAACTTATAGAGAACCTGAATCATCCTTTCTTAACTACTGATCAATGTGATAACATAAATGAAAAATTGTGGGGTTTGTGTAACGGACTAGTATTCTATGTGGTTTAGTGCTGATTAGTGTCAGATGATTTCATGCTCACCAAGGGAGAAAGGCTGAACACTCACAGAATTGATGAGAAGAAAGCAGCAACAGAAAGCCTAAAATAGAATGTTGACGTCAGATACGTCCGTTTTCATGCTTAATAGAAGAGTTTTTATAATGATGCTGTTTCAAATTTCCCAATTTAATGAGAGTTTCACACTTTATTTCAAAGAAAAATTCAACAATGTCTTGGTTACATAGACTAAAAATAATGACACTGATTGAAAACGAAAAAAAAAATAAAAATTAACCATGTATTACATTGCAAAGCAAATCAACTGATGCAAAGAAAAACCAGTTTCAAAGGCCAAATTCTCAGGCCAGAATATGATGACACGTGAATGCAGTAATATAAAATAAAAGCAAATATCCAGCTTCTTAAACACTCTTCTAAATAATAATTGGCCCAAAGAAGAAATTATACCACAATTACAATAGAAGACCTTTGAAGAAATTATGAAAATGAATGATGTGATTGGAGTAATAGTTAGGGTAAAGTGTATATTATACATTTTTTGAAGCTATACACTTATAGGTTAGACTATTTTTATCATAAAGAAAGGTAAAATAAGTATTCAACTTAAGATTTTCAAAAAAACAGTAAGAGAAAAATTGGTAGAAAATTAAATGTGGTAGAAAATTAAATGTGTTATTTTAAGATGCATATGCACTGAATTTGGAACTGGGAAATCAGAGCCACCATCAACCCACTGTTTGAATAGGAAAAAGTTGCCCTTTAGGTGGGTTCAACCCATGCCCGGGCACATAGTTTGGCCAGTGTAGGGTTATAATAAGGCTCCTCTGTACCTCCTTGTATGTAACTGTAAGCACATGTTATGCACATGTTCCATATGCATACATTTCTCTAGGACTTGATTTCATCTCAGTGCCTTTGCACTGGTTCTCTACCTGCAGTGATCTTTCTCTGGATATCTTCTGGACTCCTATTTCATGTCTTTACTTGTGTCACCTCAGTGAGGCTTTTCCTGACCACCCTGTATCTCCTTCCTTGGCTATGTAATTTATTTGTTTACCTCTCCTCACTAGTATGTGAAGTCAATGAGAAACTATCTTTGCCTCTTTTGTTCACATCATGATATATCTGTGACACTTTAGCTCCATACATACGTGTTGAAGGAATAATCATCTGAGAGTATGGAAAAGAGAATGGATTATGGAATATAGGATTGCTGCACTGCATTAAAGACCCCCTTATATATGGTTAACTTTATCATAAGCTCCAAATTCAAAAACTTGCACAAAAGTTGTTAGAATGTAAATTACATAGGTACTTCATGTAGACAAGAGAACATGACATTTTTCATCATAGCTACACCTATGTACCAATTATGAATGAAACTCTGAGTAAACTACACATTATATAAATACATGCTGAAGATTTTTTTTTGATAGTAGATTTAAAGGGAAAATATTGCATAGTAGACAGAACAGCAGTGGATACTGAAATTTTAAGCAAGCAGTATCAACATTAGAAATTTGAGTTTCATGTTTGTCCTCTGTCTTAGTTTGGGCTGCTGTAACAAAAATATCATAGACTGAGTGGCTTAAACAGCAAACATTTATTCTCACAAATGTGGAGGCTGGGAAGTTTAAGATCAAGTTTGCAGCAGATCCAGTGACTGGAAAGAGCCTGCTTCTTGGTTTGCAGACAGCTGTCTTCTCCCTGTACCTTCACATAACCAAGAGCAATCATCTCTTTTCACAGGGCACTAATCCCATTCATGAGGGCTCATGACCTAATTACCTCCCAAAGGCCCCACCTCCTAATATCATCACATTGGGGATTAGGCTTCAACATTTGAATTTTGTGGGAACACAAGCATTCAGTTCCTATCACCTACTTTTGGCTTGCATATTTCCAATGTATTGGCACCTCATACAGGCCATCCTTGCCTCTGCCAGTTATATATTATTATGTAGCATATGCCTTTAACACGAAGAAATTTGTTTTCTAAAATCTAGTTCCTTAAAGCAGAAAATGCCTAATCCCAGAAGGATGATTTTCAGGTGTGTATTTAGTCCAGGATAAAATTTTGCCCACAGAACACACTGTCATTTGTCTTTTGTAAATTAGGCTTATAGTGAAAATTAAATAGTAAAGTCACCCTGGCCTAGTTCACCCAGGTTGAGTTACACAAAACAGTCCAGTTTCTTGTGGCGGGAGGATTATAGGATTATGGGTCTCTTCTGCCTGTCCCCAGATAAGAAGTATAGGCAAGCTTTATCTGTTTATAATATTCCATGACTAATGAGTAGTAGAGAACAGGGAGCAGAGAAACCACTGAGTTTAGCTTTAGTTTTATAGAAAGATAATTTGGAGAAGGATGACTAACCACCTTTTTTTTTTTTCCTCTTTCATAGCATGTTTTAGCTGCTAGATACAGGGATGTAGAAGTAATAAAATTGTTCAATATTCTCTTTTCCCCCCAAGGCTTACTCAATTCCAGATATGGCCGAGGATGGGTTGATCACAGAAGATTAGCTGTAAACAGCTTTCGCTGTTTTGGATATGGCCAAAAGTCTTTTGAATCTAAAATCTTAGAAGAAACCAAGTTTTTCACTGATGCTATTGAAACGTACAGTGGTAGACCTTTTGACTTTAAACAATTAATAACAAATGCTGTTTCAAACATAACCAATCTGATCATTTTTGGAGAACGATTCACTTATGAAGACACTGATTTTCAGCACATGATTGAGTTATTTAGTGAAAATGTGGAACTAGCTGCCAGCGCCTCAGTCTTCCTCTATAATGCCTTTCCATGGATTGGCATCCTACCTTTTGGAAAACATCAACAGCTGTTTAGAAATGCAGATGTGATTTATGATTTTCTCTCCAGGCTTATTGAAAAAGCCTCCATCAACAGAAAGCCTCGGTTACCTCAGCACTTTGTTGATGCTTATTTAGATGAGATGGATCAAGGTAAAAATGATCCATCATCTACTTTCTCCAAAGAAAACCTAATTTTTTCTATGGGTGAACTCATCATTGCTGGAACTGAAACTACAACCAATGTGCTACGGTGGGCAGTTCTTTTCATGGCCCTTTATCCTAACATTCAAGGTGAGGATTCTCTTGATCTCAAGGTCTGTTGTTACATTTAGAGCTCATATATGTTTTAGAGTCTTTGGCCGTGCACAAAGCATTTTATTTAGGAACCCCTGCTATGCTAGCCGAAAAGAAAAACGTTTAATGGTTATAACGTTTTCAAAACTATTATCTCAATTCATGTAAAAACTTCAGATAGGTCTTATAATACCTATTTTATAAAAGAGGGAAAAGACTGAGAGGCTGATTTACCGAAGTTCAGCCACTTAGAAGTGACTGAGCTGGGATCTGAACTCTGTTTTTTTAATTCAAGTTTTTATGCTTCACTGTTTTCCTGCTGAGAGTGATGTTATTACAATTCTACGTTTGCTTAATTTTTATTTTTATTACTTTCAGTGTGTTTTTCACAACAAAATTACTCAGAGCATTGGCTACTAGTTGTATAAGATATAAGGCATGTATTTAAACAGAACTTTCAGATAATGAAAAATCTGAATCTGGGTGCAGCCATACTTTGTTGGCTTACTATAAGTTATTCTTTGCTTTATCTCAAGGGGAAATTATTTTAGATATAATCTTAAGAATTGCATAATAACTTGAACACTTTTTCTCTTACAGGACGAGTTCAGAAAGAGATTGATTTAATTATAGGACCCAGTGGAAAGCCTTCCTGGGATGACAAGTGCAAAATGCCTTATACGGAGGCAGTTTTGCATGAAGTTTTAAGATTCTGTAATATAGTGCCATTAGGGATTTTCCACGCAACTTCTGAAGATGCAGTTGTACGTGGTTATTCTATTCCTAAAGGCACAACAGTAATTACAAATCTTTATTCTGTACACTTTGATGAAAAGTACTGGAGAGACCCAGATATATTCTATCCGGAACGATTCCTGGACAGCAATGGACATTTTGTCAGGAAGGAAGCTTTGGTTCCCTTTTCCCTTGGTAAGAGAACTTTCACAGAGGCATAACTTTAGGACACAGTATAATGATGACTCATCACATATAACATCTTAATCTGAAGCATTCTGTTGTAGAATTAATATTCTAACTCTGAAAATTTAGCATTGGCTTTTAGAGGAGAGAATGGTTTAGTTAGGTGTCATTAACACCTGCTTCTACTCAAAATAAACAAGCCATAATTTAGCAGCTAGAAAGAAACTATTGAGAAGCTCTGGCTTCTTCTGAAACTTTCTTGCTTGTGGATTTTTGGCTTGTAATCAAAACTCACAGAGTTAGAAGTCAGCTGGAGAAACTAAGACTCAGGGAGAGAAATGGCATAATTTGAAGTGAAATTAGAATCGGCTTTCTTGGCTCTCCATTATTATACTTCATCTCCAGAACCATTGCTTCTGCTGTGAAAAAATACACAGATCACAAGACCCATGGAAGATGAACTGAAAATTCTTTTCACTGGGAAAAGGGACACATGCAGTCATTTGAAATGAAATGAGCTTATCCTGGGTCTATAGACCAAAATGTCACACCTCAGATCTTTCATAGCATGTCTCAGGCTCTTGTTGCCACATGCAAAGGAAGCAGAGAATGGGACTAATAAGCTTACAAAAGTCCATGACCTGACAAAAGAAGGTAAAGAAATAGGCTCTGGGAGCTGAAGTGCCAATTTCTATTTTGGGGGACTTAAGAAAATCCTTTGATAAACATAACTCCTTTTAACTTCCTTTAAATTCCAGATTTCCTGAATGATACATAATTAGACATAAATTTTGGTAAATATTGTGGATTTTTAAAAAGTATTATGCCTGTTCTTTATGTTTAGGGAGAAGACATTGTCTTGGAGAACAGCTGGCTCGGATAGAAATGTTCCTGTTTTTTACAGTATTTCTTCAGCGGTTTCGCTTGCATTTTCCACATGAACTGGTTCCAAATCTGAAGCCTCGGTTAGGCATGACGTTGCAACCCCAGCCCTACCTTATCTGTGCAGAAAAACGCTGAAGGTGCGCAGGTGTTTTGTGTAACAAAGCTATATGTTTGCCTCACCCCAAACCTTGTTGAATCAGTGTGCGTGTTTGGACAAGAATCACAGTATCATAAAGCCAAATGAACACAGATGTGTCTTTAAAAACAATACTACCAAAACACAGACACAGACACACAAAAATACTACAGGCAGCAGTAAGCATTAGCTATTATTTCTTCTAACCTTTAATGACTTATAAGGCAGAATTTTCTGAGGAAAACAGGTGTATATGACAATTATTTCTTAAGATACTAAGAAGTGTCATGGATGCCCTGACTTTTCAGCCTCTTACTGAGTACCAGGAACCCCTCATCCCTTCTTGACTCCAACTTGCTCCTTTCTGAGGGCTTTGTTTCCAGATGCCAACGCCAGCTCCCTTCTGATCAGGTATTATCACTGAATAGATTGTGTGGTACTAGTCCAGTTTAATAGTGGAGTAAAGAAGAAATTAGAACCCAAGTAGATGAATTTGGACTACAGAGGTGTTTTAGACATGATGGCAGATAATAGAATAAATATCTATACATGTAATGTAAGACCTGCCAATGCTTTCAAATCTTGCTTCTTACTATATCGTCATAAGAACTGAGTCATTCTTCCTACAAATGAGGGTCTCTGTGACCCCTCATACCAGCAATTCAGTAGACAGGAAATTACAATAATGTATGTAAAATAAAAATGACACATGGCTAATAATTCTTTGTAGGCAGACTTTTTATTTAGTACCACTTTTTTCAAAACCAGTCACGGGGCTTAAAAGATTGAATCCTTTTACCTTTTCAAGATCTCTAGGAATTTCCTTGGATTACTGTTATTTTTCTAAAAAAGAATACCATTCAAAAAACATGCTTTAGAGGCAAGGTAACTGCATAAATTGGGGAACTTGAGAGTGATGAGCTTCTATTAGTTATTATGCCAGGAAAATAAATGTAAACTGACTGTCCTGATCAAACTGGTGTGTACAGCACCTATCTATACCTTATTTTTTTTTAACCAGTTGTATGTTAAGGATTCATGCTCTTGTAGTTTAGCTCATGAATAGTTGCAGCCTCAGAGTAAATGCACATAACAATGACTTCTGTTAAGAATATGAATTTAATCTTAGTTTGACTTCATCTGTCAAATGTTTTCAAATGTCTGTGATAAATCAGGAGTCTTTGCATCTCTGATATTAAGATTTTTCCAGTTGCAAGGGGGGGAAAGCCCTGTGTAAATTTACATAAATAATAAAGGAAAAATTCAGAGGTAGCATGGTAGTTTCAGTAGGTATGACTTAGATGCTTCATGGTATGGTCAAAGATCCTGTTTCTTCACATCCCTCTATTTTGCCTTCTGGATGATACCAGCTTTATCTTAAGGCTGACTCATGTGCTTTGCTCACTTCCTTTAGATAGAGTGAGCTTGGATTGTTTCTGGGAGAGCAAGGGAGCTTTTCAGATGTTCCCCCAGAACTGCTCTTCGTGTTGCATAGGACCTAAATAAGTTATATGTCCATCCATTAAAACTATGTCTGTGAACATGGAAGCAACCCAAGTGCATATGAATAGCAAATTGGATTAAGAATGATGGAATATTATTCAGCCAGAAAAAAGAATGAAATCCTGCCATTTGCAGCAACATGGATGGACCTAGAGAATACTATGCTTAGTGAAGTAAGTCAGACAGAGAAAGACATACTGTATGAGATTCCACATATGCTTATATGTGGAATCTCATTTTTGAAAAAAGAATGTATGTGCAAAACAGACTCAGATACAGAAAACAAACTTGTAGTTACTGAAGGGGGAAGGGGACATGGGACTAATATACAAACTACTATGTATAAAATAAGCACCAAGGACATGCTATATAGCACAGGGAAGTATAGCCATTATCTTATAATAACCTATTATGGAGTCTAATCTGCAAAAATATTGAATCACCTGAAATGAATATAATATTGTAAGTCAACTATATTTCATTAAAAAAAAAAAAAAGAAAAACTATGCCATGTGAGTAGGATGGTTCACTTAGGCCTGACTACTGGAGCCAGTGATGGAATTGGCTTTGCTCAAAGTACACGTGCTACATTGGGGTTAGTGTAGTTACCTAAACAAAAATAAGGAGAGTTATGAAGAGAAGAATTACTGACTAGGAGACTGATTACAATATCTGCCTCACTGCCCTCTGACCACCTGCTAAGCCGAGCAACTTTCCAACCTATCTCCATGACTCTTGACAGTAATACTCATTCAGGTGGTTCCTTGATCTTTGCTCTTTCTATGACACAAGAAATGCCCTGTCCCTGGGCCTCCTACTTACTGTCGTATTGTGCATAAATGCCTAAATTGAAATCTATAGACTGGGCGTTCTGTGGGTTTTGGTGGTCTTACTGAGCAAAGTCATGTAGTGAACTGGAGTAGATTATAATCGAAATTGCAGAGGCCTTATTTTGCTCTTGAATGCTACCACTGTTTCTTCTAGGGTGATTAAGAATTCCATCAATCTACACAAAATGGAGAACACACTATTTTCTTTAGCTGTGTCTAAGGAAATGCTATTCTTTTCCCTAATCAAGTTACTGCCAACCTGATAAAAATCATTTAAAAATGTAGATTCATAACTTGTTGATGGTAGAAGGTGTTTAATCTCACTTAATGTGATCATTTTATAGCCAAGGAAATAGGGATTCAGACAGGGAAATGATTCCTCTAGTTCATAGTACAGGATGCCCTTTTTTATCTCATTATATATTTTTTTATCCAAAATGTGTTTATTGGGATAGCTCCCCATTTATCATGATTCAGGGTGCTTTTAAAAGTGCTGTTTCTGTCGAAAGGATCATCCTTCTGTAAGCTTTGCTTTTTTATCTCCTATGACTGGCAGAGATAGTAAAGCAGCCAACACACAAAACTATGGCATGGCTGAATTCGATGGTGTGTTTATAGCATCCTGGGCATTTCATATCCATGAAGTAAGAATTGGGGCTCTATACCAGGCGCTTCTTCTTGTGTTTCCTCTTCTCTTCTGGAGAGGGATGAAGGAGCTTCTTTGCAAGAGGCATGTTCTTGTGGGGAGGTCATCACTACCAGAAAGGCCATCTCTTACTCTTTTATACTGTGCTTTACAAGTTATAAGGTTGTTTTCTTATTGTCAGCTCTTGATTGTTTGGAGCCAGTTAACTATGGTAAAAATAAAATACTGCATATTTAGAAAAATATAAATATAAATTTAGTAATTAATCCATAATGGAAAATAATTATTTTTTGGAACTATGTAGTAACAGACTATAGATCTACTGCAATAGGAATGCCTTCTCTCTAATCAGTCAAATTGTGAGCTACTAACTTAGAATGTTAGAAATCTCACTTCTGATTCAAGATGGCAACTGAGTACACTTATTTCTTCACAAATGCCCTTGAAATAACCATAAGGATAGAAAAACAGATAAAGGTATTGAGAATGGGGTTGGAGGGCCATATTTTTCCTTTTTTAAAGTATAATCAGTTTACAATGTTGCTACTTTATAACGTACAGCATAGTGATTCAGTTATACGTATATATGTGTGTATATATATTCCTTTTCATACTCTTTCTCATTATAGGCTTTTACAAAGTATCAAATATAGTTCCCTGTACTATACAGTAAGATCTTGTTGCTTATTTTATATATAGTAGTTAATGTATGGAAATCCCAAACTCCCAATTTATCCCTCCCCCTCACCTTTCCCCCTGGTAACCATTAAGTTTGTTTTCTATGTCTGTGAGTCTGTCTCTGTTTTGTAAATAAATTTGTCTTTTTTTTAAGATGCTACCTATAAATGATATCATGGGGTATTTTTCTTTCTCTTTCTGGCTTACTCAGTATGACAATCTCCAGGTCCATCCATATTCCTGCAAATGACATTGTTTTATTCTTTGTTATGTCTGAGTAGTATTCCATTTATTATATACACCATATCCTCTTTATCCAGTTGTCTGTCGATGGACATTTAGGTTGCTTCCGTGTCTTGGCTGTTGTAAATAGTGCTGCTGTGAACATTAGGGTGCATGAATCTTCTTGAATTAGAGTTTCTTCTGGATTTATGCCCAGGAGTGGGATTGCTGGATCATATGGTAAGTCTATTTTTAGTTTTTTTAAGGCATCTCCATACAGTTTTCCATAAATGGCTCCAAACTACATTCCCAGCAGCAGTGTGGAAGTCTCTTTTCTCCACACCCTTGGAGGGCCATAGTGAATCAGATACTTTCAAGTCCTAAAAGGTGGAAGGTAAATGGGATAATATTGAAGGAACCACAGATAAGACAAAGCCTGAGGTAGAGATAGGAGCTCATTCTTCACAGGTTTTGGCTATGGAGGAAACAGGTATATAAGGAGAGGAGTAGATAAGAACAGCAAAAGTGGAAAGAAATCAAGCTGATGCTCCTGTCCCACTGTTTTCCTGTTTGTGCTGCTCCCAAAGTCTAAGTAAATTGAGTACCTTGTCTGGGAGACGGTGGTGCTCCTACATAGGGATTAGTGCCCTACGTTGACAGCCCCCTAATTTGGTCTGATTTTGAACCTGAAGTTCTGCATCACCCAAACTATTAATCAGGTGTGAGGGCAAGTTTCAATCAACAAAGTGATGATTGGGGAAACATCAGCAAAACGGCTAGTGCTAAGAATTGACTATATTTATCTGTAGAATTAAGGCTAAAACAAAGGTGGAATGAGTGTAACAGAATAACATGTAAATAATTTACACTCTGACAGTATAGAAATAATGCATCTAATAAAAAAAAAAGAAGAAAAGGTAGAAAGTAGAATAAGCTCTCTGATTACTGCATATATAATAGTTAGGAGTCAAAGGATATAATTTAAAACTGACAAGTCAAGTAGTAGAAGTCTGAATAAATTTAAGAGTACAAAAGTAAATGATAGGGGGAGGGTATAGCTCAGTGGTAAAGTGCATGCCTAGCATGCACGAGGTCCTGGGTTCAATCCCCAGTACCTCCATTAAAATAAATCTAATTATACCCCCCCCCCAAAAAAAACCCCAAAGAAACAAAAAGTAAATGATAGAATATTGCCTAAAATTGGGTAGTGGAGGATATGGAGGAAGAGGTACAAGCTAATTTTATTATTCTTATAAGAGAAGCAGATACCATCCAAGCATATAAAAGTATAAGCATAAAGATGACCACTAAATCAAAAATAAAAACCTTCCTAAATGTCAAGAGAACTAAAATTAAGTTTTTGGTAAAGAGCAAATATGAGAGAACTACATCCCTAATTACAGTCACATTAAAAAATGTAAATACGCTTATCTCACCTATTAAAAAAGTATTCAGATTGGATCACAGACAAAACCCAATGCTGTATTATGCTATATACGAGAGACATCTAAAACATAGGTTAAAGGTTAAGAATATAAGGATGGAGGTGTATATAGCTCAGCTGATAAGAGTGCCTGTTTAGCATACATGAGGTCCTGGGTACAACCCCCAGTACCACCATTAAAACAAAATCAAGTAAACCTAATTACTTCCCCCCTAAAAACAACAACAATAAAACAAAACTAAAGTTAAAAAAAAAAAGAAAGAACATAAAGATGGGCATAGCATACCAGGCAAATACATAAAAAGAAAGCAAGGATTATAATCTTAATAAAACAAGGAAGAATTTAAGGCAGACGGCATAAGCAAGACAAAGAAATGCACTCTCTAATTCTAGAGAC